TTTTTGTGGATAAAAAAAGTTCGTTTTCAATACAGGGTGTGCTACAATTGTACCAATTGCACCAAGATAATATTTTCGTCTTTGTTGGTATACAGGGTGGACCGGAGTTAATTTGCGTATACAGAGATCTCGTAAACCGTAAGATATACATTGTCGGTTAAATGGGGAAAAAGTTTTGTATTTTGACAGATAATACAATGATCCATAGAAGTGCCAGATTTTCTGACTGGTTCCGGAGATATTCGATAAAATCCGAAAAACCTCATTTTCGTTTTTTAAGTCGTGCGTTGTTATTATAAAAGATACAAAAAAATAATTATACAAAGTGTTTGTTATAAATCAAGTTCCCTATAATATGCCATGTCAAAATTTTTATTACGTTTCGTATTTCCAGGGCCACCTTCAACTTATTTTTTTAAATACGGACCTGGATTTTTAACTTTAATTTTTTATAGCTTTTGTATAGCTAAATACAACGATATGTTCCACTTTACCATTTTACTACGTTTCGTCTATGAAAATATCATCAGCTATGTAGCTTCTGATGATACCGTTTCTTACTTGATTAAAACAAGATAGCTAATTAAATAATAATTAAAAAACAAAAAATGCTTAAAATGTGAAATTTTAAATATTATTTGAAACATAATACAAGAATTATTTAATTACAAAATGGGTTACAATTTTTATCAACATGATTAAGTACAACCAGCAAACAAGACTAATGAAGAACGAATTATGGTTGTACACATTCTACAAATAATAAAGCTAATAGCAAAAACAAAATTCAAAAACAAAAACAGTCACAATAGTTGCTCAAAATGTAGTCCATTCTGTTGGATACAGAGTGCAATTCTCCTAGACATTTGGGATGTAGTTTTATCAACCATTTCTGGTGTAATTTTTTCAAATGCATCTACTATTCGTTGACGAAGTTCTTGTAGATTATTTGGCATAATTTTGTCGTAGATTTGGTTCTTTACAAAGCCCCATACAAAATAATCCATGGGGTTAAGACACAGAGATCGAGGAGGTTATCTTATTGGTCCATTGGTACCAATCCAATTACCTCTAAAATATTGATCGAGATACTCTGCAACCCTCCTAGCATTGTGTGCACCACAACCGTCTTGCATAAAGTATTGAAGATTTTGTCTTGTTTGTAAGGGCATCTCAACGAGTACTTCCTCTAATAAATGTAGGTATCGGAACTGATTTAAATTACCATCCAAAAAAAATCGGCCCAATAATCTGATTATTGATTAGTCCACACCACACATTTTGGGTAAAACGGAACTGTGGTCTAACTTCTCTGCTTAAATGGGGATTAGAAGTAGCATAGAAATGCTTGTTCCTTGGATTAAATATTCCACTATTAGTAAAGGAGCATTCATCCGTTCATAATATCTTTTTGTTGAAAGAACGGTCATTGCGCAGTTTTCTACTACACATCAGTCTTCTATCGGAGTTTCCAGCGTGTAATTTCTGGACTTTTTGAAATTTATACCCGTGGTATTTATGTTTCTTTAAAATTATTTTAACCGTGGAGCCTACTACACATTCTTTAGCTATTCGCCTAGTAGAATTTTCAGGGTTAATATGTATTTGGGCAAGAACATTAATTTCATTATCAGTATTTCGAACCTGATATCTAGTTCTCCTTTTTTTTCACACTGCTATGCTCTGCCATATTTTTTGAAATATAAGAAAACATCCTCTAAGATGGCTGTTGTCTATCAGTATATAAATCTAAATAAGTCTGAGCTGACCTGGTTTCATTCCTATAGCATCTTATGTACACATCATACATATCTTTCTTCTCTTCTTCAGTATAACGAACCATAATATTTATTTAATTTTAAATTATTTAAAGCTAAAAAAGTACTGTAATATTAGATGCTACAAATTATAACAGAAATATTGGTGACAAGTTACAACTGACATGCATGGCAAACATGATTTTGTTAAGAAAAAATACGGTGTGAGAAACCTAAGCGAAAGATTTTACAGAAAATCAGGTGATAGCAATTTATAGATTGCTTGACCGTTTTGTTTTTCATTTTGCTTTTGTTATTAGCTTTATTATTTGTAGAATGTGTACAATCATAATTCGTTCTTCATTAGTTTTGTTTGCTGGTTGTACTTAATCATGTTTGATAAAAAATTGTAACCCATTTTGTAATTAAATAATTCTTGTATTATGTTTCAAATAATATTTAAAATTTCACATTTTAGGCATTTTTTGTTTTTTAATTATTTAATTAGCTATCTTGTTTTAATCAAGTAAGAAACGGTATCATGAGAAGCTACATAGCTGATGATATTTAGCTCTACAAAAGCTATAAAAAATTACAGTTAAAAATCCAAATCCGTATTTAAAAAAATAAGTTGAAGGCGGCCCTGGAAATATGAAACGTCGTAATAAAAATTTTGATATGGCAGATTATAGGGAACTTGATTTATAACAAAAACTTCGTATAATTTTTTTTTGTATCTTCTATAATAACAACGCACGACTTAAAAAACGAAAATGAGGTTTTTCGGATTTTATCGAATATCTCCGGAACCAGTCAGAAAATCTGGAACTTCTATGGACCATTGTATTATCCGTCAAAATACGAAACTTTTACCCCATTTAACCGACAATGTATATCTTGCGGTTTACAAGATCTCTGTATACGCAAATTAAATCCGGTCCACCCTGTATACTCTATGTAATACGCCAAGGGACTCTCTTTTCTTTTTCTAGTCTTAGGATGAAAGAAAATTGGTTATTTATGGCATATTTCAGCGGTCTCTTTGGTTTAAAAATATTTTCAACAACTTTTAGAACCAGTTTTAATACTACTCATAGATTTTGAAAACGCTCAAATAGATGATTTTAAAACAGTGATGTCACTGAAAGTTAACGATTTGTGAGTGTGTAAATCTTTAGCAACAAATAATATTTTGCCTATGTTAAAGAGAAGCATTACCAGAGTTTTATGAAAAATGGATCGTTATTTAGAATCCAACTTTAACCAGTTATTTAGAATTACAAGGTCAAGTTTTCAAAAATTATAAACCTTCATAATTATGCAATTTCTAATTTTTCTTATAACCATAAATATTCTTTTTTAACATTAATTTTATTATGTATGCTATGCTCTATGATGTTCGTTACTGTTTTTGACAATAATGACATTTGAGATGCAGCTGGTTTAAAGCAAAGATATTGGATAATATGTCTATGGTTTTAATGGTTTTAATTCAACGTGACGTCATCGTTTGGTTACTTGAATGGGAATAGTTCAAACCGTTTCCAAACCGCATGAAATATATTTAAACCAGTCGACCGCTCGAATATGACTTTAATAATACGTTTTAATTGTAAAAATTATTGGTACACATGTCAATTTCAAGTGTATAAAATCAGCACTTTGGTTACATATTGATTTATCAAGATTAAAAATTACATTTATGAGAAGCCTGAGATAAATAGTTCTTTTGAGGCTTCAGATAATGCCATGTATTCTGCATCTGTTGTTGATAAGGCAACTGTCTTCTGTTTTTTAGATTATCTGATTTGCCATTCATTTCAAAAACATTATCCAATGTATTATAGAACCTACAGATTTGATATTAGCTAAAACGCCGAACACAACTCTTTTAATAAATGAGAACGTAGGGCATTCATATATGATATGTTCGATGGTCTTATCTTCTTATTCGCAAAGTGCGGATTCTGACAGCCCATATGTTATGGAGAATCTTCTATACTTGTTAATAACCAGTCAGAATGTCTGTGATTAGGCGCAGAGTCTCTATTCACAGTCAAGTATTTGTTTGCTGTGGTGTTGTCAGGGTAACTTAAAAGCTTTCTGGCAACTCTGTACCCATTATATCAGAAATATTTCAAACGTTTTAAACATAACATTTCAAGTACAAGTTATTGAATATTTCTGAAATAGATTAGTTAAATATTTCACTGAAAATGTTTCTGAAACATGGTATAAATGTTACACAAACGGTTTCTAAACGAGTTGTTGTAAAAGGCCAACACTTAATGAAACATTTCTGATTTTTAAAAAGAGAAGGAAGAATATTGGGTAAATTATCCTGTAGGATGTAGCCCAATAAAGGGAGAAGAAGAGAAGGAAGGTTATGTAGTCATTTTATTTCATACTTATGTCCAGCCTATATTATTTACGCGTTGTGCTGTTATATTGGTAGCAGAATATGTCTAGAAATTGAGGTAAGTTACAGGATGAATCCCAAGTTGATACCTTTTTAACTGTGTATAGAAGTCATTAAAATAAACAACTTTTCAATTATTAAAAAAAAAAAAAAAAAAAAAAAAATGTATCCAATACGGTTCGGTCTAACTTAAATAATTTGTAGAACTTTTATCCGAAAATGTTGATCACATTCATGTGTTATAAGAACCATTAACAAAACTGAACTCGATGAGGAAATCTTCAAGTTGTAGTGCTTGAACACGTTGAACATAAAGCGGATACAATTGATTTTCTCGCAATGTTGTCCACACTTTTCTTTGACTTTGACCCGAGTATTTGTTGGACCTTCCTCGATAACATTTAAAATGTGTTTTTCTAAATGCGCATCATTTTCAATTTACCATTTACAATTTAAATTCACTAATTCAGATGAACACGCTTCTGAAATCACACTCGACTGAAGTGCAATAACACATAATTAATCGTGATTTTTAAAAAAACTAGGTAGAGATAAAAACAAACATACTTTTCTTACACAAGTCCAGTCCTTGATTTATATTTTTTATTCTATATCTTATTTTTTATTTTTTTGAAAAAGATTTATTTTAACAAATTCTATACACAGTTAAAAAATATCAACTTGTGAGTCTCTCTCTATAGATGCATTGACACTTCCTTTCCAACAAGCTTTCCAAAGAATTTATATATTTACTTTGTTTTTGGATCAATAACCGATAATTTTTGGAAAATTTAAACCAATTCCATCTATTATAAATAAAATAATGTTACTTTTATATATTTATTTTAAATAAAAATAATTAAATTTGCGTGCCAAAGGTACGTACATAAGCCCCCATTGTATAATCGCTATCGCTTCTGTTAATGCTGATATTGTTTCCATCGGTGGCTGTAAACATTGGAATAGGAGGCATGTATTCTTCAGAATTAAACAGTTCGTACAGCTGACAATCCTTCAAATCCTTGAGTTTGGGCTCGTGCCTGGAATCCATGATGGCCATATATTTCTTTTTGAATTCGTTGTATTTCGCTAGCCAGTCCCTTTCGTCTTGACAAAGATGGTCTTCATCTAGACAGAATATAAGTTTTCTAATGTTGACGTATGAATGACACTTTTAGAAACTCGTGCGATATACACATTCGTTTATAACAAACTGAATGCCTTATCGCTTCTGTTAACTTTATTAAATTTACTGAGTGTTTTTAAAGTACATGTCGAGGGGTAAACCGCTGCTGTACTGTGGTGTATAAGCAATCTGTATTATGTGTACTATTGTTATATTTTGTGTACTATTTGCGTATTATTTGCGTACTATTTCCGTGCTATATTTGGGTATAATATTAATGTACAAAAATTTTTCAGTACTTACAAATGTGAACGCTCTTTGGTTGTCATGGGATTTTTTACTGAAATTAATTCCTGTAGGTCTTATTTACATGAAAAAGGATGGCTTTGTGTAGAACATTTGAAAAAATAAACAAATTTTCAACAACAGGTTTTGTGGAAATACATTTTAAATAAAAATGTGTTTTTTTCCTAAGTTATACAAATTATAATGTAACACTCTGTAGTCTGTATTCAAGTAAAATAGCGTTCTGTCACATATTGAAGAGAATGTTATTGAATATTGATAATAAATCTGGTCTCCTTTAATTGGACACAATACAAAAGAGCTAACAAGTATTAGAAATTAAAAATTTAAAAAAAACCTACTTCAAAAACGTGCAGATGCCGTCACCACATCTTAACCAAATTTATGTGGGACCACCCCTGAGGTATCCCCTTACTAACAAAAAAGAATCATATAAATCGGACAAGGTGGTAAAGCATTATCGCTAAACATAAAAAATTAAGAGTTTTAGGATTTTATTATATTTTGACCAAATTTATATGGAACCACCCCTGAAGTATCCCCTTTCTAACAAAAAAAGAATCATTGAAATCAGACACCGTGTTAAAGAATTATCGCTGAACATACATAAAAAAAAATATCGCGACGAATTGAGAACCTCCCTCCTTTTTTGAAATGAAATTGAGTTCAATATCGAAAAGTTTATATTCAACACCCTGTATATTAACCAAACGGTTGTGGTCGAGTTGCGGCCATGATAACTTTTGATCAAGAGGTCGATATCTACAACATATCTGAATTTCATAAGAATCTCACGGATAGCCATTTCTCATAGTGCGGGGTCCTTTGAATGTGATGCAAAGTTTAATTTACACTTAAATTTTGGCGTTCACATTTCGGTTTCGTACATGTATTTCAAAAGCAAAAATCCATATTTACCTGCGTTAATGATTTTGTGCATGATCTTGTCGTACGCTTTCCTGAACGAGACCCAATTCTGATACCAATCGGAATTTTCGAATTTCAAATCGGAAACGGTTTTCCTCGTTCTGGCGAATATTTTCATTTCCAGTTTGCTCAGAGTTTCGCGGTTCATGATCGGTTTTAAGGTTTTCGAGGTGCTCATGTCGACGACGCTCTGCTTCGCCCTTTGGATGCGAAGAATACCCTTGCCGAGTCTCGGCGGAATGTCATTGAAGAAAGCGTGCTCGGGAAGGAAGACCGCATCGTTTTCCAGCGCTTCGGCTGAAATAAAATAGTGAGATTGATAAAATAAAGACGTTCTTGACAATAAATAAATAAATAAATATTGAATACGCATATATGCAAGTGCGAGCCCTTAGTAACCAATTAATATTTAATACGCAGTCGCAAGCAATTATAAGCAAAATAATGTTGACGCTAGCCTTTCAAGTGCGATAGCTACGTAGCTGTAGCTAGGAGGAATAAAATCATTGTTTCGAACCCATACAAGGCGTGACATAACAAATCGCCTCACTGACTTCACGAAGAAGTTAAAAAGAAGTATTTGTTGGGATTTGAACCCTACATTTAATCATCGGTCTAAAGCTGCTACTGCTACATCTCGGAATTTCAGCTTATGTGTTAGCTGGACACCTTGAAGATTTAGGTTTTTGTTTTCACTCGATCTTCCCAACATGTTTGTACAGTATCCAGAGTTTAAGTTTGTGGAGGGTAGAAGTAATAAAATTTAAGTCTCGGGGGTAGTGGTACAATTGAAGACTTTACTTTATATTGTTACCTATAAAAAGTAAGGATTAAAAATTCTTGGGGGTAATTACCCCCGTCCCGTATATGTACTCCTGCATTTGTAAAAGACTGGCAAGGGTTTTCGTAACACCATGTAGGTATAACCAAAATAAAATGAATATTAAATGTGAATGTAGTAAATAATAATTCCATAACTGAATTATATACTTTTGCCAGTACAAGCTTCGTTTTCATGCTATCCTGATATACATTTCTACAAAATGTTGTGTAAAAGAGGAGAAATGGAAGCCGCGTTGTTCGTTCCGTCCGCCCGTGAGAGATAATTAATTAATTTGCACAGCTTATATTGTATAAGCTGTGTAATTAGTGTGCTTATTTTTTCAGGGATCGAAAATAAGATTAAGAAATAAATCGAGAGAGTATTTAAAGTGTGTAAAATTGAGTTTCATTCAATAAAACTCTATAAAAATTTGTCTGAGCGCTTTCCGGCCTCTTAAGCCATCATCAGAGACTCTATAAAAGTAAAAAAAACGGAGCTGTAATAATATAATCAACTCGTAACATTACTAAACATTGAATAAAAACAAAAACTTGTACACTTACTCGTCAAAAACTTTAGAAGAAACATGAAAAGTGAACTAAATTAAAAAAGGACCGCAACAGACCAGTTCCAAGTCTCCACCATAGCTTGGGAGATAAACAAGCCCGATGAAATAAAAAATTTAAATTACCTAGTTAGATTTAATAGCTAAACCAAGGTCCATCTTGAAACTGATATTGAAATAATCAAAATTATTATTCAATTTAGTCCCATACTCTGTATAATATGTACTCCAAGCCTACTCTGTCGGAATCATGAGCCACCGATAAAAATCTTATATCAGGTCTGTTCTGGTTTTGAGAAATAACGATCCACAACTGTCGGGCTCATGCGCAGTAGATAAAAAGTGTTCTGGTTTTTCTGGGACTACTTCGGATCTCTCAGTCCAGTGTTCTGGTTTCGTATCCGAAATAATCCGTGATTGTTGTAAACAGTCAAAAAGTGTTCATGCTTGGGAGTGTGGATCGACTCGGACTGTTTTGACCGCGCATGCGTTTTTGAAGTGTTATGAATATTGTATTGGCTTTTTAGACCATACGAAACGTATACAATCCCAAATTGTTTATTTATATGTGGACGAATGTCTCTTGTTCTTGTTTTATTTGTAAATTAAAGCAATTTTAGAATTATTAATTTTTTAATATTCTGTTTTTATTTATTCCATTGAAATGTGATGATAATGATAAACATATACATGCAAATATTATTTGAAGCTGAGCTTTCAAAAGGAACTTCATTATTATAATAAACAATAAACAAAACACCTTTATGACGTGTTCTGGTTTTCCAAGAATTTCAAACAGTCGGGGATTTTTTGCCTTTACGCATACGGTCCGGCGCAGTTTCAAAACAGTTTTCATTTTGAGAACCAGAACAAACCTATCAAAACCCACAGACAGTCATATACTTGTTTGTTTCCGTTCTTTCCTCTTTACATCATTTTGCAGAAATTTGTATCAGGATCGCGTGAAAGCAGAGAGGAGTCGAATATTTGTATGAACTCGTTGATGTTAAAAATAGAGGACTTCTATAGAAGGAAGTGCAACCAACTTGACAAAATAAAATTGACACTAATGACATAAGAAATCGGGCCACATAACGAGGCTATTTTTGTGTGCAAATTTTGGTTTTTCTTATCTACTTTTATGCCGTTTACATACCATGTTATACCCGTAACGTAGAAAAGACTTTTTATTTTAAGGTATTTCATATTTAAAGGTTGAAACATTATCAATATCAGCTGTCGATAATGTCAAAACATAAGCGTAGCATTGCGATTTATTTTTTTATTGTTAATAGTCTATTTATGTTTCTCTTGGTTTCTTTAAACATTTTTTTCATTTGGTTTTATATATTTATGTCAAATGCAAAAATGCTACTGCTGCTACAAATACAAGTTACATACACTATACAACCATATACAATGGGTCCTATGATTGAACGTTTACGTTATCCGTAACGTACATGTTAGGCCGAATTTTAAAAGTAACGAGGCAAGTTCGTATGATGGAAACCTGTTAAATTAGAACATAACAGGCGGAAAATAACAGTAATGTGTTATGAAAGACTTTACATCATACGAATTTGTCTCTTTACTGTTAAAACTCGGCCTAACCTGTACGTTACGGATAACGTCAACGTTCAATCATAGGACCCAATACTAGTTACGTTATACGTTACATAATTGACAGCTGACACTGACAAATTATTTCAACCTATAGATGTAAAATACCTACAACTAAAAAGTCTTTTTAACAACAAGGTATGTATATGGCATAAAAGTATATAAAAAAAACGAAAAAGTATACTAAAAAGCAGCGTCTATAGGTCTTTTCCTCTGCATCGAAAGTTATTATTATTATTATTTCTGAAAATATTGTTCCATCCATACAATTTGTATAAATGGAACGATATTTTCAGAAGTGGTGTAGCTCGGTCCTACACTTTCGATGCAAAGGAAAAGACCTTTTATGTGATCCGATTTCTTATGTCATTAGTGACAATTTTATTTTGTTAAGTTGGTTGCACTTCTCTTGTATAGAAGTCCTCTATTGGATTATTTATACTAATCTGGTAATAGAAGTATAACATACCTATAGGTTTTACCCAGATATTACCATGTGTTACCCTACTAAAAAAAAACTAAAAGTTAACAGGTTTTTGTTTAGTTTGAACTGTTGGAACCTACCGTATACTCTCTAAAAACCATAACACTTCAGTAAAGATCTTAATATTCGATGTATCGAAATCACCGTATTCTTGTTCTTTCCTCTTTACATCATTTTGTAGAAATTTCTATCAGGATCGCGTGAAACCAAGGAGATGTTGAATATTCATTCTTGTTTAGAGGCATTTTCTTACGACTTACATACGGCATATTTGGAAGTATTATGGTTCCTCTTTACAACATTTTGTAGAAATTTGTATCAGGATCGCGTGAAAGCAAGGAGATGTTGAATTCTCGTTCTTGTTAATGCAACAAATGATGATCTTTTATGGTTTGACAATTCCATCAAACTTTTCACTTGTCATTGTTGTAATAACCATTTACTGGTAGCGTTGTCTAATACCTTCATAACTACGCTGATTATCTTATGTCATTCCAACGACCTGTCAAACAATAGCTACCGGTGGGCAGGGCTCGTATATCAAAGGGGGTTGCGATATAGCCTTCCATCTTGGGCGCTATTTTATTTGAATTAGTCGCCAAGCCTGCCAATTTATGAAAAATGTATAAGCGTTTTTTTTTATTTTAAATATTTTCATTCTGTTCGATATTAAATATTTAAATTTAATCCATTATTCATGATTTCACCTGTTATAGATAGAATACGTCGTATGTCGCAACCCCTTAGATATATCAACCCTTCCCACCGACAGCCATTTTGTTTAGAATGCCTATATTCATGGAATAATGATGACATCTTCTGACTGTTATAGTAGCGTTCGGTTTGGCCAGGGGCTGGAATGGGACAAGAACGGAGTGTTTTAAGGTGATTTTAAATGACATTTAAGCTTGTTGAACTGTCACTGTTGAAATAAAACGAACGCAATACATGAGTTTGAAACAGACACGGATCCACAGACCATACCCTTTAAAGATGGGCCACTCAACAGTGAAAAATTTTACTCATCTTTCAGCGCCATCCGTAGCGGTTGCAAATAGTTGAGTTAAAAAAAAAGAAGATAACTATTAATTGAAAATTTGTTCAAGATTTATTATATAGATGGCGGTAGGGGTCACGAGCGCGGGTTTTTCAAACTCGGCCTTTCTAATAAACCACTACTAAGTTTTCAAAATTATAATTTTTCATTCTTTTTTACTTAAAATGATTCAAACATTTTATTCTTCACTCAACATACTTAGATGGATATAATCCATTGGGTTATGTTCTGTGATAGATAAAATTTGAAATATTTTAAGTTAAAAAGAAAATGAAAAATTATAATTTTGGATTTGTGGAACAAAAAATACATCTTATTATGAAGTAAATCACGATTATAACCATATATTTTTTATTATTAGAATTAAAATTGCACGAATTCTTATTACAGTACACAATAATAAAGAAATATGAATATAAAACTATTACGAAGTTCACCCATGGTTGTATCCACTAGAAGTTGTAACGAAAGTTCCTGGGGAAAGTTGGCTCTGGCTGCTGTTGGGTGTACTTGTCACTTCCTATTGCAGTGTTTGCTGATTCGTTTTCATGTAAAAAATGAAAAAGAGTATCAGTTAAAAAATATAAAGTTCAATTTTATTATTTTTGTTTTGAGTCAATTCAGCTGAACTATTAATTTATTAGCTAGTGAGAATGAATCGGCATTTCTTAAAAATATATCATAGAAGATTTTTCAATAAAATGAAGGAATTTGAATTTAGTAAGAATGCAACTTTTATTAATTGGAA